GCCCTGCCGGGACTCTGCCCTGCCCGGTGCCGCGCCCTCCCCGCAGCCTGACGGCCGGCGCTCCGGAGCGTGGCAGCCCGCGGCCAAGCTGTCATCAAACGTCTTCTTGGGGCACCTCAGCGCAGCCCCCTGTAGCTTTGGGAAGAGGCGTCCTCGGTTTCGGGTGGTGTGATTGCCGGAGATTCCCATTTTTAATGAACTAGGAGAGTTACAGTGGCCTTTGTGAGCCGTCTTTATTGGTGTTGTAGAAGTGAATTCTCTTTTATGGTTTGCATCACGATAGGAGATTCTCTTGTATTCATTTTCTTTAAGTATTTTCAATGTATGTTTTCTTCTTAGGTTAGAAATTTACTTTCTGGTAGGGTCACGCATCTCTGTGTGATGTTGGAGTTCTGTTAAGGGCTTTACAAATGCTCTAGTGAACATCTCAGGGTAACTCAGTGACTGATGACCTGAATGGAAGTACCTGTCCTGATCACTAGGATTACGAAATCTCTGCAGAGCTGTTCTGAAGACCTTGTGGTCACTTTAGGGTTTTGGCACTCTCAAACCTACATGGAATTTTTATTTTTCTGAAATGGCAGAATCTTTATTTCACGTTTAGATAGCTTTCAGAACGCAGAGATAAAGCTCACATGTGCAGTCTTAGCGCATTGACATGAGGTTTTTTGTATCCTCTGAAATGGTACTAGTGTCATTGATATACGCTGCAGATACTGTAGCACTTAATATTACCATACTAAGTTATCTTTAAGTTCTTAAAAACTAAATGTTGAATTTTTTTTCATAGCCATGCAAGAAACGGCGAGAGGAAGACACTTCTGTAAAAACAATCACAAGGTATTTTTCGCCATTGGCAAAACCGGAGGAGAAAGTATTGACACCCCCAAAACCCAACAATATATTGGATTATTTTAAAAAGACAGCTGTAGCTGGAGAAAATAAAACACAGTTGGATGCTGATGACAAGGACTGCAAGTCACTTTTTAAACCACCTTTAAAGCGGAAGAGGAAAGGGAAGAGAGTCAGAGTGAATAATAAGCTAAGAGAGATGAAAGAACCTGAGAATGAACATGAAATAGCAATTAATAGTGATAATAGCAGCGAAACAACAGGACTGAAACAAGACAGCAATGATTTTATTGCTGCTTGTACTTTAATTGATCAAACATGTGCAAGAGAATTAGAAGATAATGAGCACAGAGAGAACACCTCAGATGCTGTCATCTGCAGAAAGAATGTGAAGAAGGTCACTTCTAAAATAAGTGAAACGAAAAATAGGACAAGAAAGTTGAGGAAAAGGAAGCAGAAAGTAAACATGGATTTGTCTGAAAGTTTTTCACCTGAAAACCAGCTGAACGAAAAGTGTAAAAAGGAGACTGAAGATGACAACAAGATGGTTTCTCCTACAATAATAGAGTGTGATGCTTCTATTAATGATTCCTGTTTTGAAGTTCATGCGGATGATAAGACCTCACAGGTAAATAATAGTATAATAACGGTGTCATTTGAGGACTTCTTGAAGAGTCAGGGAGAAAATAATGTAGATCATGTTGATGAAGACACAAAGGCAGCAGTGGACAATTCTGCTACAGCAAATGAAACAAACAAAAGTGATAGCATTAGTGACTCAGAAAAGTGTGAGGAATCTCAACAGCCACCACTTAGAACAGTAACTGTCCTTGCACAAGTTCATTCTGTTCCTGCCAAGTTAGTTCCATTACATAAGGAGCAAAAAGGGTCTAGGAAAATAGCTTCCATTTTTTGGAAGCAGAAGGGAAGTGTACAGGAAAATGAAGGTAGTCCACCACTCTTGGAGAGTGAGCAAACTGAACAGGTTACTCAGAAGAGAAAATCTAATGTAGTTATTGAGGAAGAAGAATTGGAGTTAGCTGTTCTGGAGACTGCAGGGTCAGATTCTTTGAAGCCAAAATGTACTCTGGAAGAAAGGCATCAGTTCATGAAGGCATTTAGACAACCAGCATCAGATGTAATAATAAAAAGTGGAGTTAAAAAGGCACCTGGAAAACAAAAGCAAGGCCTTGGAAAGTCTTCAAAAGAGAAAGGATCTGAAGATGACATCGCTTCAAATAAAGGATTAGAAAGTGGAGTACCAGAAGATAATGTGAACAAATATACACGTTCTAGTCCTGAACACAACAGAACTAAACCCAAAAGATCTAAAAAGCTTCAGAAAAAAGGAACCAGAAGAAGGAAGGCTTCAGAAACAAAGGAAACAAATGTCTCAACTACCAGCAATTATGGTGAAGAGGAGGATTTGGGAGCTAATGTTCTTACTAAGGAAAACACCTTAAATGTGACAGTTTCATCAAGCCCAGAAGCGAATGAGCTCAGGAGGAGTTTAAGGCAGAGGAAAATCAGAACGTCAAAAAGTGTTACACCTAAAAAAACCCGGATGAGAAGTACCTTTTCTGAGGATGAGTTAAGCGGCTGTCCTGTGCAGACGTCGACGCCAAAGGCACGGGAGGGGCCGGTGCCGAGGAGCAGCCTGTACAGAGCTGAGGTGATCCCCGCGCCCCTCGGCGGCAGCAGCGCCATCAGGTGAACGGTCTAGGGTATATTCTGCTTCTGGGCACTTTGTTTTCCTGCAGGTGTTTTGAAAGTAAGGCAGAATTATGAATGGATTGGAATGCACGGTGAAGCTGCGTGGGTGCTCATTGTGGTGGGTAATCATACAGAAGAATTAAAGTTAACTCTAAGTGTGCTTGCACTGAAAACATTAAAAAAAAAAAAACACCCACATAACAACCAAAAAGCCAACCTCCCACTGGTTAGAGGGTTGCTTCTGCTTGCAGCACTGTATTTTTAAATGCTTTTCAAAAAGAGATTGAGAGTAACATTTCCCTTTATTAGGAAGTAATAATTTCATAATGCTTTTTTTCCCTAATTAGAATGAGGTTTACACGTATCAATGCAACTACAAAGTCAAATAAAGCTGAAGCAATAAAGAAGGAAGAGCTGAACTCCAGAAATACAAAGGTAATTTACATAGCACTGTGTTTTTGTATTTTGTCCTTTTCTATGTGCCTGTAAGTGTATTAATATTTGGTATTGTGTAATAGTCTAGTGTAATGCAATGTGACAGTTCTGATGCCCTATGGAAAGAGACTTCTGCTCTGATTTAGGCTAGAATTTGAGATTGTTCCTTGTACAGTTATTGTCCCTTAGTTTTTAAAATCTTTAATTAATGTAAGTCTAATCTTCATAAGATAACAGAAAACTCCAATAAAACAGTATGCTTATGTTCTGTAGGGTCACAGGAGGGGACATAGTGTTTGGGCACAGCGGAACAGTTTATGCTGAAGAACATCACTGCCCATATTTCATTTGTTCTGTGTACAAATTGGAGGATCCCCTTGTAGGATTCTCCTTCCCTTCTGAAAAGTATTTATATTCTCTGAGTTTGCTGCTTTCCAGACTTTAATTTTCTCTTTGATACAAGTAAAATTTCACCACAAATCATATGCTTAGATGAATGTGAAAAATCACATTAGTATGTGAAATACCTAGCAATTAACAGCAACATATTCACTATTCTGGTTCTTTTGTACTTTGTTAACAGATAAGCTCCACTTCTAAAAATAAATCCAAAGCGAAGCAGCTGATTGAGAAGGCAAAGGCCATCCAGCATCAGAGGTCAAAGGTGAATGAAGACCTAGTGACTCCTGTGAGGCGCTCGTCTCGGCAGTGGGCTCTTGCTGAAAAGAAAAAACTGCAAGAAAGTGAAGTAAGCCTTTAGACTTTGTGAGGAAAAATAGAAGTTTTTGTGATTAATTCAAGGAAGGAACAAGAATGCTTCTTATCGTACAAACGTTTCTTTTAACTACTCAGATGAGGTAGATACTGATGCAGTGGTAGGGTAAATGTCAAATAGAAAAGTAACTGCCAGATGTGGAGTGGAAGGCTCCTGAAGCAGATGGACCATGCAGCAGGTGGTCACACTCTAGAAGTGACTGTTTCTCTTTCCTAGTGGACAGCAAAGTGTCTGCTTCAAATGTGTGTGCTTTAGACAGTGAGACTTAGATGAGAGTAATTCTGGTCTTCGTTTATATATTGGAGATCTTACTCTGTATAATTTTTCTGTGTAAACAGTAATAAAAGTATTATATAATATTGAAATGATTATTTGCTAATTTCTAAGCTCCAGCAGTTTCTTCAGTTGTCTCAGTACCAGTCACAAAATTGTGTTGTTAATAAAGGAAGAAAAGTTGTGTTTCCTTTCTTATTTTATTTGCTTTCCTTCTAGGAATCAGTAGTAATCTTAGATTCAAGCCCGATTAATGCCACTACTACAGTGCAGAATGTGAAGAAGAATCTTCGGAGCTTAAACGATGTTTTGGGGAAAAAGTCTAGAAACTTGAAGGTTGCAAAGAACTCAAATGGTAACTGGTGTTTACTGAATGTGTTTAATTTTTATTACGGTTATTCTAACTTAATTGTATAAAGCTGCATTTGCAGTACATTCATCTTCTGATTTTTTAATATACTATTCCAATATATACCTTTAATTTTTATGACAAGTTAATAGTGCAGAGGTTATTTACATGTGCTGCTTTGATTTTCCTTCATTTGAGGAAAACTCTTTGAAAAACTGCCAAGAGTATACTATGTTTTGTCTTCTAATTTAAGTGGTTTGGTTTTTTTTAATGTCACAGAAGATAATGTCTAGGGATGAAATAACTACAAATAAAACTATAATGAATTCTATTAAAATACTCAGCTTTCCCTTAAAAAAGGAGATTTACTAATATTGTTCAATGGAACATACAGGCAGTGAACACAAAAGCAAGGTTGGAAACCTGTATCAGTGCTAATATTTTTTTTTTCCCCTTTTTAAAGGAAAACTAGGATACCCACCTTCCTACCTAGGCAGAAATGCTCAAAACCCTGCAGGTGAACCAATTGTCATCTTTGATGAAAGCAGGTCAGTTTTTAAGATTACATTTGCTTAAAAGTCAAAATATTTCAAGGTTGCTTTAACATTCTCTAATTTTACAAGTTTACGTATAGTTATTGAAATGTGATGTAAATGTTCATGTTTTTTATACTGTGATCACTGTGTTAATGTGCTTGCAAAATTATGAAGTTTTGTTTCCTCAACCATTGCTGAGCAATTTCAGGTGGTTGAAAATGTAGTTGACTGATTTAAAAAGAAATCCTAAATTGCATATAAAAATATAAAACCAAAGAGGATTATTTTTTAAATTAATCTCTAACACAAAATTTAAAATTAAATGTAAACTTAGTACATCTAATTTTAGCAGTTCCCCCAGACTATTTCTAAGTGGTGCATAGAAGTGAATGTGACTAGGTTCTGTTGTAAGCCTTACATAGCTGGTTCTAAGGATTATTTATTTTTTAATTTCTGTTTTCCTTAAAGCCAAGATGCATCTGAAAACTCTCAAGATGATGAACAATTCAGAGCAAAACGTGAATTCTTGATGAGTGGGTTGCCAGAGTCACTGAAAAGACAGATTGCAAAGAAAGCAGCAGCGATGGAAGCGTACTCTCTTGCAAGTTCATGTTTTCAGACTGTTGTCCATGTACAGCAGAAGGATGACTGTAAGCTTCGTTCAGCTATTGTGTAAATGTGTAGAATAAGTTCTGGTAGATCTGGGCAGAGGAGAAACTGGAACGTCAGAACTTACTATGACTGGAATAATAGTTAGATCCCTCTTGTTTTGTGTCACAGGTAGAAAACACAACTTACGTGATTCCAGTGAGATGGTTTTGAGCTCACAGTTTAGAAATTGAATTGATGCTAGAGCAATGTACATTTATGGGTGGGGTTGGGAAATTCTTAATATTTAATTAAAAAAAAAGTCTTTCTACTCCAGTTTGGGGAATAAAGTTCATGTTGGACTGGTTATGGCAGAAACCATTTTCTTCTGACAAAGGCAAAATATTTTTCAGAAGAGAAAAGGACAGCCCATTTCTTTCCACTAAGTGAGGGAGTGTGCTACAACGTTCTTAGGAAAGCACACAGACAGAAAAGCAGAAGGTGGCAGAGCACTTAAAAGAGTTTCTGTTTGCAAACCAACGAAAATCCTTGGTGAGCATCTGTCCTGTAGAGACCTGCTGAGGCCACAAGTTGCTCTTTAAATCAGAGCCCAGGAGCAACTTACTGGAGAAATGCTGTATGCCATAATATGCAAATGTAATCTGTTTGTGGGAAGTGGAGCTAATAAGAGAAAAGGTTGACAGTGTAAGTTAAATAAGCCTGACTTTGACATGGTTAAGCTGTAGTTAAAACAGAATTTACTTTTATTTACTGTGGGATAGTTTTGTCTGTGACTATCTTCTGATTTGTTTACAGAAGTTTTCTCTTGTTTTTTTTTGGTGATGGTTCTTTTTTAGGTTATCCAATGTGGAAATTGAAATCCCCAGTGCATCCTCTATTAACTAAGCTCAGGAAAAGGAATACTGAAGTCACTGATGTCACAAAAATCACTCTCTCACTTGGCGAATTTTCCACTGTGAATTTAGAACTAACTGGAAACCACTCTGCACCTGTGGTTAGTACTTTAAAATGGGGGATTGTGGTACAAGAAAGTGAAGAGAAAACTGAAATTGTTTTGTTAATTTTTAGGACTTCTGTTTTTAAAAATCCTGTAGTTTGAATCTCTGTCAGTCCTGGATTTTTTTTTTTGTTGTTTTTGGGTGTGATCTACCCATTCTTCATCATAACTTTAGACAATTCTCAAGGCTTCCTGTTAATCTGGGTTTAACAAGACAGCTACCAATTTAAATTATGCAAAACTGTTGTTACTGTGTTACACTTTTGAGGAATAATTTGGTTTTGTGTGTGTTACAGTTTTCTGGCCACCGACCAGTTTTTCCTGATACATTCAGGAAAGATTTACTAGATGAGATCATCTCTTCTAATTCTCAATTTCCTGTGAGAAAATACTTCTACAAGTTTCTGAAAAAGCAAACGGAACGTCTGGGTTTTGAAAATAGTGTACAAGGTTAGTAATCTATGTGGGGAAAGATAAACACACGCACTCTCTCTGGCATAAAAAGGCAACTTGGAATTTCCAGAAATGTTCCAGTGAAGGAACATTATTATTGGAAATAAACTGATCTCACATTTTAGGTCTTTTTGACCAAGTTCTTCAAATGTGCTTAAAGAACAAACATGCTTAAACAACCATACAATTATGGACATATCTTGAAATTTTAAATGGATGGTTTTGTTTTGTTTTTCTTAGAAAGCAGAGATGGCACTGCCAATTCTGAGCTAAATCAGAAACATTCTGGCAATTGGAAGGAAACTAAGAGAAAAAGGAAAGAAACAGAAGACCACAAGTCAAAAAGAAGAAAACAAATAGAAGGTACAGAGACTGAAATAAAGTCCAGAGTTTCCAGGAACCTTATTTCTCCCTTATCTACAGACACAGGACAAGCAACACATTTGGGAAAAAACAAGAACCAGAAACCACATGTTGTGACAGAAGACACTAAGTATTTATCAGAGCCAAATGCACTTTCAGGTAACTGCATCTCCTGTCTGATTTTAGTTCTCTTTCCACTGAGGGCATGTCTATGTGATGTATGTCAGCTTTCCACTGTGATGCAATAATCACATCTAGCCAACACTTTACAAGACTTCATCAACTCTTTTTCATTAAAAACTTTTTAAAAATGGGTAATATTTTTTTCTGTAGGTGTTGAAAAGGAAGACATGCTCTGGACAGAAAAATACCAGCCTCAAGATTCCAGTGAACTTGTAGGGAACAAGAAAGAAATTGAAAGGCTACACAGGTCAGAACTGGGACCATGGAGCCATTCTTAAAATAACTCAAAACATCGTATTATTTGGTTATGCTGAAAGAAGTGAAGTCAATTATTTTACACTATGATTAAATAACACTTACAGGGCATGTATTTGTAGCCAAAGAGTTGCAGAAACAAATTGGTCATAGTTTTTTACAGTAATACCTTGGTAGATTTTATGGCACAAAATGAAAACACACATGAGATGCTACACCAGGCTGTGGATGTCATGGAATACTTAAGTAACTAATGCCCTTAAAAATAATTTTTACTAAAATTGTGTCATGTTATTTAAGCTTACACAATATGAATGAGAGATAGGAACTTACCAGTACTTGCTTCCCTACAGCATGCCTGATCTTGCTCTTGATGCAGTGCCTCTGCTTTTGACACTAATTTAACACTCAAGTCCATCTAATACTTTGTGCTCTCAGTTAAATTTTCTGTGTGGGTTCAAGTTCTTGTGGCTTTTAGGCAGAGTTTAAAGATCCATCTGACGCTAAACTGACTGATAAAGCATCTTCCAGTTTACCAAGTAGTTTGCTAAGTGACTTGGGTTTATACCAATTAACTAATAGAATGGATAACAGAGAATGAAGAAGGAATCTTGTTTTACAAAAGAATCAAACACTGAACAGGTTTTTTTTTCTTTTTTTTTTTTTTTTTTTAAATCTGAAAGGATTTGATAGGTTTCAGAGAATGATAACAAGTGGCTGATATCTCCTAATTTTATATTGTGAAAATTATATTATCTGGATTTAGTTCACTTTATTCAGCAGTCATTTTTATTTTTTGTTCTGTTCCTTCCTTTTATAGTTGGTTAAAAGAATGGAAAAAAAGAGCTGATTGGGAAGAAAAAAGAAATCAGAAAGGGGAAAAGGAGGACAAAGAGCATCAAGGTGCTGATAGAATTAAAAATAATATATATAACTTCTCTTTAATAAAGTTGCCATAAAAATGACATTAATTGATAATGATTTGAAAAATTCCTTTCTTTTAAATAATTCTACAGATTCTTTGGACAACCTTGACTTTAAAGATAGTAAATCTGATATTGAGGAAGAGACCAGCCTTTGCAATACAGTCCTGATAACTGGCCCGCCGGGAGTAGGGAAAACTGCTGCAGTATATGCTTGTGCTCAGGAGCTTGGGTTTAAGGTTTGTGGAGTCCTTTCCTCAGTGCCATTTTTCTTACTTTTAACAAGAGTTATGAAGGCATTCGTGATAACAAGATGACTAATTTTTTTTATATACATGCACTAAATACCATTGCAGATATTTGAAGTCAACGCCTCTTGCCAGCGTAGTGGTAGACAGATACTGTCTCAACTAAAAGAAGCTACTCAGTCTCATCAAGTGGACAAAAAAGGCATTAATGCACATAAGCCTTGCTTTTTTAACAGTTGTAGCAGTGCCAAGTCACCAAGTAAGTTTCACAGTTGTATATTTTTTTTTTTATTTATTTTGATTTTTGTTTGTTTTTGTTTGGGGCCTGTTTTTTAGGTGGGGAGGAGGAAGGGGGTGATTTATTTGGTTTAGTTTTGAGGGATTTTTTTAGGAACTGTATTCCCAAAACAAGTTTTAGACATAAGCTGTTTAAAAAAGACAGCAAATTTGATCTTATCTGGCTATAATAATAAGAAATGCTCAAGTTGCTTAACACAACTGCATACTAAATTAAATAATGATTTGCTCAAAATGTCTGACTTTTGATTATCTTATTTCTGTACTAGTGGAGTAAGTGCTATGGCATTTAAATAGAAAGTTGACTGTCGAACAGAAGAAGAGTAAAATAAGCTGAAATCAGCACAGTAAACCTGTCCTGTACTAGATACAAACGTGGGATTTGCTCTAAATTTCCCTGAGAAATGTCAGTGTGAGATTACATATCCAGCTTAAGTTTAATATAAAACATCTCTTGCAGAAAAAATGTATTCTCCAAAGAAAGTTGTTTCACCAAGAAAACCTCCACTGTCACCAAAAGGAGCAGGATTAAAACGAAGCTTACCCCCTAAAACACTTGCGAGCTATTTCAAGATTTCCTCCAAATGTAAAGATAATGATGGAGCAGTAACATCTCAAGAAAAAAACAAAGGTAGGTATCATGGTTTAATAGTTACTTACATTGGGAGTTGGAAAAGCTACACTGTACTACTGTATGTGTGAAGCTGTGTGGAGAAAAGGACAGGGCATACTTAGTACACTCCAACTGGCTGCAAGAGTCACCTAATCTATCTCAGGTGAACTTTACACAGGGAGTAGTCATCACTCTGTGTTGGAGTCAGCTAGGGCACAGACAATCTGAAGTTCAGTAAGCTTTCCTTATTTGTTTGGGTTTTTTTTCAGAGCAGTTAGGAGAAGGTAAATTAAAAACTGTCTCTAGAAAAACACACCTCAATATTACCTCAGTGCCTGTTTCAGATATGGTGTGGAGCCATCATTGTGCTAAGTGGTGTGTATATATCCAAAAGATTGATTAATAGGTCCTGTGAAGCCAGTAAATGTTTGACTACATTTGAATATGTATTAGAATATGTAGCTCTTCACCAAATAGTTCAATTACCTGCAAATTTGATGCCATTTATTTTTTTTTTAAACAAGATGTCAGAAAAGGATGTAGGTCAGATTTGTAAGCTTTTGTGTCAGTGTAGATTTATTAAGCAGGTTCTACATGGGGTGTTTTGGCAACCAGTGTCTAGAATGTATATTCAGCGTTTCCAGTCCTCTTCCACTTCCTGCTCAATTCTTTGCCCAGCTGCAGGAAAGACTCAGAATTCATGTGAAGAAAAGAAAGATGCTGAAATTAAGTCAGTAAACAAAGAAGTAGAAGGAGGAGAACACAACAGAAAAAGTGCGACATCTCTCATTCTTTTTGAAGAGGTAAATCCGTGTGAAATATATTGATGTGAACAATATGGCCTTTCATTATGTTTAAAGAACTTTTTTTTTCCTTCCTCCTTGAGACTTCTAGGTAGATTCAAATGTGAGGATTATCAGCTTCTTAAAATTAATTCAATGTTTAATGATTTCATCCTCATGAGTACATTTTTAATTATGACTTGTTATTTTAAAAGATAAGCTATCATCTCTCAACAGTTTTTCAGGGTTAGAACACTTTGCAGGATTCTGCTCGTTTAGTTCCTTTGATTGTGTCAAAAGTGTTGGTTTATAGTTTTACACTGCTTATGTGCACTGAGAAACTTTAAAAGTCACCTCAGTAATTACAATATCTAAGCCCACATTATATTCTTCTTTTCTTTAACCTCTTGCCCAAAAATGTCTTTAAGGCCTAACCTAAGAACAGAAAATGGCAGCCAAGAATGTAATTGTAAGTAAATGAAGGAGATATAGCAATGTTGCCCAATGGAGGTTGATCCTCCGGATCACTGAAGCAATTCTACTAGAAAATCTAAAAAAACTCCAAAAGCTGCCTGGCCATGATCCTGGGCAGCCTGCTCTAGGTGACCCAGCTTGAGCAGGGAGTTTGGGCAAGGTGACCTCCAGGAGGTCCATTCCAGCCTCATCCAGCCAACATCAGCATGGAGACTGTGGTGGAAGCGTTGTGTGCCAGCAAGCGAGCGGGACCTGACGTGTGTGCTGGAGAAACCTGGGTTAACGTGGAGTCTTCCCCTGCTGTTAACAGCATGACTGCACTCACAGCTTGTAGCTGTCGTTGGAGCTCTTGGCATTTTGCACTTCCCTTGTTTTCTGTAGGTAGATATAATATTTGATGAAGATGTGGGATTTCTAAGCGCCATAAAGACATTCATGGCAACTGCAAAGAGACCTGTAATTCTCACCACCAACGGTGAGTACCCTCTGTTACACTAACTGGGCTTTCCAGGCAGAAAAGCCTCTCTGTTTAAATGGTGATGGTTGAATACAGCTCCTAAATACAAAATTAAAGGAATGGAAATTATAAAGTGAGTATTTTAGTATTTGAATAAAGATACTGTCTGCTCTAATGGATAAAGAAAAGAATTAGTTTTGCTTGTAGTGTTGTGACGTTTCACTGATGTCTGTTCTTATAGATCCAACGTTCAGCTTAATGTTTGATGGCTCTTTTGAAGAGATCAACTTTAAAACCCCTTCCTTGGTAAGTCTGTTTGGATATGCAGATGTGTCCTAAGCGAGTAATTGTCAGGTAATTTAAGTTTGAAATTAAAATGTTGGTGTAGATTTATATTTATCAGATATATTATATCTGTTTCATCAGAGGACTGTTTTGGGGTGTTTTATGCAAGGATATATGGAATGTATTTATCTTTACATGTAGAGTTATTATTAGTAGCCTGGAA